TTGCGTTTACTGTGGGCTTAAATTCCCCACCCTTTCATTTGTTTAGGTACAAGTATGCATTTCAACAGATTGTCGGTTGAAGTTCTAACGTGACCCTAAGATATGCCTTAGCTTCATGATTAGTTCATCTCAACTTGTAGACTGAATAAGGAGAGCTGCTAACTATCCAATAAAAAATAGATTTCGTGTTTTTCGTGGTGCTCATTCGGCTGATCCTCTGCCGTCCACTCGCGACCGTGAAACAAGGTAGCGTTTTGTTAGGGGTAGGTAAGCTGAACTGTTTTATAATCCTTACTTGGATAAGGAAGGAGACGAGTCGACTCCTTGATCAATTAATTTATTGTCCTGAGCTTTCAGCTCCACACGAGAAGCCATCGTCAGAGATGATGCTCGACTCCTCTCCTTCCTTATTTAAGCAGATGTCTTGAACACGAACTTTCTCATTCATTCGGGAATAATCTTTACGGATCGCCGCATACGCTTCTCGATGTCTCTCACTTTCCAAGTCACTACAATTTTTGTCCAATAATAACAAGTAGCCTCATCACGTCTCCCAACTGCACAATTCGGTTGTTTTTATCAAAACGCCGCGTTTTTCAAACTTGCATTCGGAAGCATAAGGTGCCTTTTAAGCCTTTGTATGGATTAGGTCGAGCGCTGAACTTTCTGAAAAGTCGTTAAGTGCCAGGACGCTTGCTTGCTGCGTCGTGTCCTATTTGAGTTTGCCGGCATTGTAGCTAACATTTGTGACACTACTGTTACTTCTTCGGAGCCCCAAAACCTCTGATAGTCCGGCTTTCTCTCAATAGATCTAAAATTTAGGTGGGCCGACATATTGAATTAAATAAAAATCAAGCCTATACGTTAGTATTAAGATGTGGTAGAACAGGGCGGGGAGAAGGACGAAGTACTGTAGAACCGTGTTATAGAGACTAGAGGTTCAGGTGGAGTTGGTGCCTGTATTTAGAGTGGCTCATCAGGTATCGTAGCAATGACCTGTTGCTTGATTTAACGGTACATGCAGATCTTTTTCGTCCATTCTTGTCGGAAACCTCGAACGGATTCCTTTGATGTACAGTAACCGTCGCCGTCTTTTCAAGTTTGCCTTAACGTTTTACCTTTTTCGGTATGTCGGCACCCTCAGAATGCTCTGCTGATG